CGTCCTGCGGTCAAGTTTAGTTATTGTTTACTATTAAATTTGATTAGTTTGAATTAGCTTTAGTTTTAAGCTTAGCTAATCTACTTTTAATCGATTTCAGTTTTGCTTTTTGGTTAAATGTCGTTGTTTTTGTCTCAGAAGCTATTGTGGGTTTTAAAATATGGGGAAAAGCCTATCTTTCGTGGTTTTACTTTAATTTCTAAAATTTGATATAGAGTCGATATACAGTTGTATCCAGTTCGCGAGTACTACTGGGCGGTTCGTGTTTTGTATTGATTGTATTTCTAATTTTTCAATTAGGTTATTTATATAATTATTCTTATTATTTTATACGCTCTACTTTTTAGATTATTTTTTTTCACCGGTCCTATATAACAGAATGCTTGGGTTTTCTTCTGTTGTAGTGAACCCGAAACGAGACTGTTACCGTAAGAGCCAACCGTGCTCTCGGGTTGCCCCAAGCCTTGTTGATAATACCACATGAACGCCTTACACTCTATATTTGTCAAAAGAACAGGCGAAAGAGGCAGAAACACTGTCTGGAGGGCTCACCCGAGAGAGAATATCCACAGCATCATCTTGCAGTGAGGCGGGGTATTTCACCTCACCATAGGAGATTGCATTGAAGAGGTCCTGCTCCGTGTCACCCTCGAAAGGAGGCGCTCCGGCTAGCATTTCGTACATGAGCACACCCAGGGCCCACCAATCCACACTGAACCCATAATCCTGCTCCGCAAGAATCTAAATAGGCAGACAACCGGGTGGTCAGAGGGAGAAGCAGGCCACAGGAGCGGGGGGAAGGGGAGGGGGAGCAGCACGAAGAACTCACCTCTGGTGCAATGTAATCGGGCGTTCCACAGAAGGTAGATGTACTCCGTCCGGGCAGCATACCCTCCTTACACATGCCAAAGTCAGCCAGTTTACAGTGACCCTCGGCGTCGAGCAGAATGTTATCCAACTTTAAGTCACGATAGACAATGAAATGGCGGTGAAGAAACATCAGAGCAAGGATAACTTCCGCTGAGTAAAAGCGAGCACGGGCCTCGTCGAAACGACGAGCACGCTGAATTTGGAACATCAGATCTCCGCCGTTTACGTACTCCATAACAAAGAACAGGCGGTCCTAAAAGCG